AAGTGGCGCTGTAGCTCAAGTGGTAGAGTGCTCGCCTTGAGCTGAAGAGCTGAGGGACAGCGCCCAGGCCCAGAGTTCAAGCCCCACGACCCACAAAAAAAAAAAAAAAAAGTTCTGCTTCCATAATGATTCTAATGCTTGTCATATGTGTAGCCTTTAAAATAAAACTACTAGTATAGTGAGTTCATGTCAAGTGTACGTAATTGCTGAAAAAGAGGGGGTGCATAAGAACCATGAATTTATATTCATGTGGTGAGTAGTGTGAGTAGCCAGCAATACTATGACTAATATATGAAATGAGAGCAGGGTTTTTTTGTTTTGTTTTTGGGTTTTTTGTTTTGTTTTGTTGGTCATAGGGCCTGAATTCTGGGACTGGGTGCTGTCCCTCAGCTCTTCAGCTCAAGGCTAGCACTCTACCACTTGAGCCACAGTGCACTTCTGGCTTTTTCTGCTTACGTGGTGCTGAGGAATCAAACTCAGGACCTCATGCATGCAAGGCAAGCATTATTCTACCACTGAGCCACTTTCCCAGCCTGTGAGGGCAGTTTTATGGATGATTATTGATCTTAACTTGTGAGAGTGGGTAGCTGTGTTAGTGCAAGTAGCTAAGTATACATGAGAAATAATGAGTAGGCTTTAAGATTCTTCAAAACCCACAGATAACTCACACCATTAAGATAATGGCCCTATATCATCTTCTCTTTTTTTTTTTTTTTGTCAGTCCTGGGGCCTCAACTCTGGGCCTGGGCGCAGTCCCCCAGCTCTTCAGCTCAAAGCTAGCACTCTACCACTTGAGCTTCCGGCTTTTTCTGCTTATGTGATGCTGAGGAATCGAACCCAGGGCCTCATGCATACAATGCAAGCACTCTGAGTCACTTTCCCAGCCCCACCCAAGATCTTCTTTATGCAGCATGCACCCCATATTAAGGCCAGGTATTCAATTATATAATGACTGACATATGACTTTAAAAAAATCTTTATTACTGTACAAAGGAGTTACAATTCCTTAAGGAAAATAATAAGTACAATGCTTCATGGACAATGTCACTCCTTCCTTTACTTATACCTATTTTTACTTATACCTTGCTGTCCCTGCCCATAAGTTGCATAGTTCATTTTCACATAATGTATATTGAATACGTTTCCATTTCCTGTAATTCATTTTGATAAGCTGTACTTTAGATGTCAGAAGAGTTATGCCTGTGGGTTCCGCCCCGAAATGTATCCTTAGTCAGTTTGTGTGTCAATGCATAAAGTCCTATATAAGTTATCATGTCCAGTTGTATTTTAGATCTAGATTCCACATGAGAGAAAACATGATCTCTGACTTTTTACTGGAAGCACTAACTTAGAAAGAGCAGATGCACAAGCATAAGTGTTCCCATGCCAGGCAGCCAATATGTAGTTGTCAAGTCTTTTGGAGAGGGGCCATAAGAGGAAGGTCTAGTTTCCTGTTACTTAGTAACCTCACCCTATTGCATAAAATTCCAAACCCTGACAACTTCTAGGAAGTCAATCCTTACATGAACAGCCTGCCTCACATCTTAAGATGTACTTATGCACTGGGCGCCAGTGGCTCACACCTGTAATCCTAACTACTCAGGAGGCTGAGATCTGAGGATCACATTCAAAGCCAGCCCCAGGCAGGAAAGTCCAAGAGACTCTTATCTCCAATTAACCACCAGAAAACCAGAAGTAGCACTGTGGCTCAAGTGGTAGAGCACTAGCCTTGAGATGAAGAGTTCAGGGACAGTGGCCAGGCCCAGAGTTCAACCCCCACAACTGACCAAAAAAAAAAAAAGATGTACTTATGCTTTGCTACTAAATCATTCTTAACTAGCTTTATACTTTTCACTCTTCTTTTGTCATACCAAGGACAGTCCTGATCTTAGGCAACAGACCCAAGAACTAAGGAACATCTTGAACATCTCAACCACCTAGTAACACTAATAATAGCTGGGGTTAGACATTTAATGAACTGTGTGTCATAGAAGCAAAGTATCAGCCTCAGGAAGTCAGGTTTAGCTGGGCATTAGTGACTCACATCTGTAATTCTGGCTACTTAGGATACTCTGAGTACCTCAGTTCAAAGCCAGTGTAGGAAGGAAAATTCATGAGAGCTTTATCTCCAATTAAGTACCAAAAGAGCCAGAAGTTGAGCTGTGGATCATATGGTAGAGTGCTAGCCTTGAGAACAAAAGCTCAAGGACAGCATCTAGCCCCTGAGCTCAAGTCGTACAATCCAGAAGAAAGAAAAGAAGAAAATATGTTTGTTATGAGAAGAAGATTATCTAGGAGTAACAAGACTATAAACATACTTATCATCTTTGTAACATGCCATAAAAATATTTATGCCAAAAAGGAACATTTCATTCCAGGGTAAAAAATTAAGTATGTCTACATACCTGGTAGGCAGCTTTTCAAAGTCGACATCTAAAAACTGTTCATAGCTAGAAACAAAATTGTCCAACCATAGCTTCAGATAATCTGGATCTTTCTGAAATAAAGTACACATGTCAGGAAACATGTCTATGTAATAAAGAAGCAATAATAGCCATTCGTGGTAGTGCATTCCTGTAATCCCTGTACTCAGGAAGTTGACATAAGAGAATTCCAAGTTTGAGGTCAGCCTAGTCTACATAATAAAACACTTAATAATAATAATAATAGTTACAATAATGAATCTCTAAGTGACTTTCAGAAAGAGCTTTGTGTTGAATTAAAATATGTATAAGCCGGGAACCGGTGGCTCATGTCTGTAATCCTAGCTTCTCAGGAGGCTGAGATCTGAGGATTGCGGTTCAAAGCCAGCCCAGGCAGGAAAGTCCGTGAGACTCGTATCGCCAATAAACCACTAGAAAACCGGAAGTGGTAGAGCACTCGCCTTGAGCTGAAGAGCACAGGGACAGCGCCCAAGCCAGAGTTCAAATCCCATGACAGACAAAAAAAAATGTGTAACAGCTGGAGGGAATATCACAACCTGTAATCTCAGCCACTCAGAAGGCTGTGGGCAACATAGCAATACTCCATGTCAAAAAAATCATTAAAAAATTGTATTAATTATAATAAACCCTCAAATAAACCTGAGAGCTAAAGAATTAACAATGTTCTATAAGATTCTTAAAAAATTGCCCTCACATATTACTGTAATTAACCAATTGATATCCTCTACAGCAGTGATGTCCTCAAAATCCTTAGACATACCAGATATGTTCAAACCCAAAGGCCTTTAAATTGCCTGTTTCCTCTATCCAGAACACTCCTCTCTGAGATACCTGAATGGCTAACCTTCTCATCTCTTTCAAGTCTTGATTTGACTTGCCAAGCAAACATTCTACCACTTGATCCAGGTCCCCATCCTTTCTGCTTAAATTTTGGTTGTGCTATAGGATTTAGTTAACTTTGAAATGGCATGGAACTCAATCATCCTGCCTCTGTTTCCCAAGTAGCTGATATTACAGATATAGCCATCATGTTTTGCTCAAGTAGTTCTCTAAACAATATATTCTCACTGAGTTAAACCTTCTCACTGACATTTTACCCTATCCTATTCTGTCTCCAAACCAAATGGTAGTTTACCATACTATATAATTTATTTATATATTAATCACTTCCCCCAGGATGTAAGTTTCACGAAGGGTTTTTATGTTTTGTTTGCTGATGACAATCAAGTCACTAAAGTATTGCCTGGCATCAAGAAGGTGCTCACTAACTACTTGTTCAATAATTAATAAGAAGTATAAAATGCATAAGTAAAATAAAACTGAAGCCAAGCATGGTAGGAAACATCTGTAATACCAGCTACATAGGAGGAAGAAATAGGAGAATCATAGTTAAAAGGCAGCTTTGGCAAATAATGCAAAAAGGGCGAGAGGTACGACCCAAATGGTAGAATGCTAGTCTTGAGTTTAAACTCAATGACACACACACACACACAATCAAATTAAAACTGGATCATTAATCTAAACATCCAAATTAAAACTAAAATCTTCCATAAGAAAATATGAACTATTTTTGTATCCAAGGATAAATAGTAATATCCTTTTTCTTACCTAGGACACAAAAACCATGAGCTAAAAAGAAAAATTCTTGTTGATTAAAATTAGGGGTAGGTAGGCACCTGTGGCTCATGCCACAGGTTGATATGTAAGGATCATGGTTCAAACCCAGCCCAGAAAGGAAAGTCTATGAAACTATCTCTAATTAACTACCAAAAAGCCAGAAATAAAGCCGTGGTTCAACACTAGCCCTAACAAAAAAGCTCAGGGATAGGCACCTAGATCCTAAGTTCAAGCCCAGACATGGCGCGCGCGCACACACACACACACACACACACACCACAAAAACACATATAGAGAGAGGGGTTCAATGTACCTCAGTGTGGAATATATGTCTAACATGCACCAGGCCCCAGGTTCCATCCCATTCAAAAACAGTAAATAAATAGACTTAAAATAACTGCTTGGCAAAAACAACCATTAAGAAATTGGAAATGCCAACCAAGCTAGATATATACCTCAGTCTTCACAAGAATGTATGAGGCCCTCCGTTCAATAACAACAAAAATATTAAAAAGGAGAAGAAAAGTGGAGAAAGAAGAGCAAGAAAAAGACAAAGATGATGAAGGAGGAATAGAAAGGAGAAAGAAAAGGATGGAGGAATGGAAGGCAGAAGAGGAAGGAAAGAGAACAGAAAGGAGAAAAGAAGATGAAAATAGAAAGGCAAGTCATATATTTGAATACATTCTCAAACACGTATCAATATATGAATATCTCAGTTTTAAAAATAGAAACTTCACAAAAGAAGACACAAATAGCAATAAAATGTTCTCAATATCATTAGTTATCCAGACCAATGCAAATTAAAACCAAATGGGATAGGATGGGAATGTGCCTCAGTGGTAGAGTGCTTGGTATGAGGCCCTTGGTTCAATTCCTCAGCACCATATAAGCAGAAAAAAGCCAGAAATGGCGCTGTGGCTCAAATGGTAGAGTGCTAGGCCTGAGCTGAAGAGCTGAGCGACAGCGCCCAGTCCTAGAGTTCAGGCCCCATAACCAACCAAAAAAAAGACAAAACAAAACAAATGGAATACCCTTACATACATACCCACCAGAATGGCAAAAATTAAAAACTAATACAGAATAACTATAAATCTCATTCAGTACATTGTTGGTGAAAGAATAACTAGGAAAACTGATCAGCAGTTTCATTTAAACATACAAATAGGACACTGTCCAGCCATTTCTCCACATTGAAATGAAAACACATAAAACATATCCCCAAAGAACATTTGCACAAAAATGGCCAAGAAACTTTTTTCTTGACAGTACTGAGGTTTGAATTCAAAGACTTTGAGATTGCTAGGTAAGCACTCTACCACTTTTTGCTCTGGTTCTTCTTTATATACATACATACATCAGTCTGATGTATGTAATTGTAGGATTGCCTACAATTGCAATCCTCCTGATCTCAGCCTCCCACATAGGAGGCATGACAGTTGTAAACCAGCAGTTGGCAAATATTCTATTTTCAATAGTCGACAGCTGGAAACAATAAACAATTCTTAACAGGTTAACATATAAAGAAATTGTGGAATGAACAATAAATTATTTAAGAGAAAAAATGAATTATTGATGTAAGAACAGTTCATTTTTTTAGTCATTGAGCAAAAGATGACAAGCATGAAGGCATACACACTGACTTTATACAAAGTTCTACAACTGGCTACAGTGACAACAGTTAGATAAGTGGCTGCCTTTGGGAGTAATGGCTGAAAATTGGCACAAAGGTCAAATTTTTTTATTTTTTGTTTTTTTTGGGTCCGGTCGTGGGGCCTGAACTGTGGGCCTGGGCGCTGTCCCTCAGCTCTTCAGCTCAAGGCTAGTGCTCTACCACTTGAGCCACAATGCCGCTTCCCACTTTTTTTTTTCTGCTTATGTGGTGCTGAGGAATCGAACCTAGGGCCTCATGCATGAAAGGCAAGAGCTCTACCACTGAGCCACCTTCCCAACCCCAATTTTTTTTTCTTGATTATAGGGACTGAACTCAGTCCTTGCACATCCTAGGCAAATGTTACATCACTAACCTATACGCTTAGCCCTGAAATTTTCCATTTTCTGATGAAAGGTGGTTACACAAACATGCACATGTATCAAACTACACACATCTGACACTTTAAATCTATGCATGAAATGATACAGCAATAAAAATGAGTTGGTGAAAAATAGAAACTATGATTCATCAGAATTTTTTTAAGATACAAATTGCTTCTTAAAAATGATGCTCAGGGGCTAGGAAGGTGGCTCCGTGGTAGAGTGCTTGCCTTGCATGCATGAGGCCCTGGGTTTGATTCCTAAGCATCACATAAGCAGAAAAAGCCGGAAGTGGCGCTGTGGCTCAAGTGGTAAAGCACTAGCCTTGAGCTAAAGAGCTGAGGGACAGTACCTAGGCCCAGAGTTAAGGCCCCACAACTGACAAAATAAATAAATAAATAAATAAAGCTCAATGGATCGTCGTTCAAAGCCTGCCCAGACAATAAAGTCCATGAGACTCTTATCTCCAATTAACCACCAAAAAACTGGAAGTGGTGCTGTGTTGCTGGAGCGTTAGTGGTAGTGGTAGTGGTAGAACATTAGCCTTGATCTGAAGAGCTCAGGGACAGCACCCAGGCCCAGGTTTCAAGCCCTACAACTGACAAGATAAATGAATAGTTTAAAAAAATTAAAAGTGAGCTGGGAAGGTGGCTCAGTGGTAGAGCTCTTGCCTTGCATGCCTGAGGCCCTGGGTTTGATTCCTCAGCACCACATAAGAAAAAAGCCGAAAGTGGCGCAGTGGCTCAAATGGTAGAGCACTAGCCTTGAGCTGAAGAGCTGAGGGACAGCGCCCAGGCCCAGAGTTCAGGCCCCACGACCGGACCCAAAAAAAAAAATTAAAAGCAA